GGGCCCCCCCCCCCCCCCCGCAGGGCTCGGCTTGAGTCGCCCGCGGGTGAAATTAGGACACATACGGCAGAGGTCCCATCACCTCCCGTGTCCCCGGGCTCTGTGGCCTCCGGGCACACCTCCTGCTGGAAAACGGCCACGTCCCCCTGAATCAGAGCCCAGCGGAGGGCAGGACACAGGGTCCCCCCGGGGAGGCGGGTACCTGGGGTGCACGACTGACGCTGGGCAGGTGAGCTAGAGGGACGTCAGCACCGCGGGCCACGGTCAGGATCGGCGCTGAGGGCTGAACGTTACCGCTTTGTCCATCCAGGTGCGTGCAGACATGTCTGGGGAGACCACCCGGAGGCCCACGGACGGGGGCTTGGAAAACACAAACTGGTTCCCTCACAGCCCCACCCCCCAGGCTCCAGGGCAGGACCCGCCCCCAGAACCCCCTCGTCCTCATTGCAGTCACCGTGTCAGGCACCGGTTTGGGGTGATTTGTTACTGTGGCCCCACGAGACCCAGGCAGGGCATTGACAAGGACGGGGAGAGGACTCTACAGTTTGTCTCCTCCACCAGACTCTAGCAGGCACCCCTGCGCTCTTTCTCTCAAGTAGGCCTGACCTTCGGGCTTCCGGATTCATCCCTGCATCACGCAGTTTTACCAAAAACCTGACAACTGCTGACTCTCAGTATGTGGCCACCTGGATATCTGGATATCTGCTCACCTGGAGAGCTAGTCTCCTGGATATCTGCTCACCTGGGTATTTAGTCAGCTAGATATCTGCTCACCTGGAGAGCTAGTCTCCTGGATATCTGGTCGCCTGTGTATTTAGTCAGCTAGATATATGCTCACCTGGAGAGCTAGTCTCCTGGATATCTGGTCACTTGGATATCTGCTCACCTGGGTATTTAGTCAGCTAGATATCTGCTCACCTGGAGACCTGAAGGGGTTTCTCACTGCCCGCCTCCCCAGGTCACGTCTGATCACCCCGCTCTGCCTTCGGCAGGAGTCCTGGGACATCCGTTTGGGCAGCATCCCACTTACCCCTGATGCTGCTTCTGGTGGGTTTCCAGCTGCTGCTTCGCCACCCACCCCGCGGGCCCACCCTGAGCTCAGAGCCGAGCTGGGTCTCACCCGAGGTTTCCTGTCTGCGACCTCCACGTTCCGGAATGAAAGGTGTCTTTCTACATTCACCACTGTCTCATTTCCCTCTGTCTCTCTCTCTCTGTTTTTAACACACGTCGCTGAACCCGCAGAACTCACCGTATGGAAGCACCCGGCCCCATGCACACCTGTGAACGGGACAGCATTGGGTCCGAGAACTGGACCCAGGGTCCGGTTCTGCTCTGCAGTGGTGTTTGCCCCCAGCCGTCGCGAGATCAGCGCTGACACACGCACACAGAGGCGGGGCTCTGAGCCCCTGCTCCCCGGCCGCCTGCGCTAGGGGCCTGGCCCCCGCGGTCACGGGGGTGCTTTCCAAGCAGGCGTGAAACCTCCGGGTTTTCTGTGCGATGAAAACAGGCTGCTCTGGCCGCCACCAGAAAGTGCTTCCTCGTGGCACCCCCTCCAAGGGAACAGGTGCGCACGTGGCTTCCCCAGAAGCTGTCCCAGGGACGAGGGGCCCAATAGTCGAACGCACAACCTCCCTCCTCCCCGGGATGATCCCGCAGGGGACAGAGACGCAGCCCCCGGGTTTCTGCTTCGCAGGGGAGCCCTGGTGAGCCTCTCTCCGGGGGGAAGGGGGGATGTCCACGGGGCGGGGGGACAGAAGGAGGGGGTGTGGGTGCACGGGCACCTGCTCCCCGGTGCCTCTCCCGTGGGACACCCGTGGGGCACGGTTCACGTTTCTTAGGGCCAGCTTTTCTCTGGATTGACTGGTCCCTGTTATGGGCGGCATTGTATCAGCCCAGAATCTGTAGGCAGATGCCGTGACCCCAGGACCTCAGAATGCCGTTGTGCTCACAGTGGGGTCTTTAAGGAGGGGGTCCAGGCACAATGACGCTCATAGGGTGGGTCCTGATCCCATAGGATGGGTGTCCTCATAAGAATAGGAGGCCGGGGGAGGGGCACCTGTGGGGCTCAAGGGGTCCAACGTCCGACTTCGGCTCAGGTCAGGATCTCACGGCTTGTGAGTTCGAGCCCCAAGTCAGGCTCTGTGCTGACAGCTCGGAGCCTGGAGCACCTGCTTTGGATTCTGTGTCTCCCTCTCTCTCTGCCCCTCCCCCTCTCATGCTCTGTCTCTCTGTCAAAAATGAATAAACATTAAAAAAATTAAAACAAAAAAGAACAGGAGGTCAGGACACAGACACACAGGGAGGGACGACCACATAACGATGTGAGGACACAGGGACAGAAGACGCCCAGGAGAGAGGCCTCAGCAGGAACCAGCCTCGGCCCTGCGTGGCCTCAGCCACTGCCTGGGCTCAGCTCTGGCCTGGATCTCAGACTTTCAGCCTCAGCCCTGCCTGGATCTCAGACCCCAGCCTCAGCCCTGCCTGGATCTCAGACCCTCAGCCTCGGCCCTGCATGGACCTCAGGCTCACAGCCTCAGCCCTGCCTGGATCTCAGATTCTAGGCCTCAGCCCTTCCTGGACCTCAGAACTCCAGCCTCGGCCCTGCCTGGATCTCAGCCTCCCAGCCTCGGCCC